TACGTTCTGAACTCTGATATTTTCTAATGAACTTTTCTTTGTGGTTACACATCTTTTACACCGTAGGTAGTAATAGAAACGCTTCGCATTAAAATCTTTTTGAACGATCCATCTTTTTGACTAACTTTGAAACGTAGTCTTCCTTTAATAAATTAATTATCYTTCTTCGACCCAACCACCTTTCATTAGATGAAGTCAATTCCATATCACTAAGAATATTTGGGGACCAATTTGATAAACGAGACATTTTAAAGAGTGTTTTWCGGACATGTSRTTTATAAGAAGAAATAAAAYGCATATARTTTAATGCTTTGGCCAAAAATTTGAATTTTGTATCAAGATAAATGTTTGCCATTACGATTAAAACATGATTTTGGGCAAGTAATCAAATATATTCCGGCAGCGAGTCCGAATTTTCAACTAATTTTTGTAGCAACTGTGGTAGGTACGCAATAACACACCATCTATTATCGTCCATCTATAGTGTCAGTCGTCTCGGATTTAGCTGCGTAGACAAGAAACTTCATATAACTCCACAAAAAATARTCAAGCGGTGTTTTATGGCACGGTCTTGGCCAGAACAGGCTCACGACGGGATATAATCACCAAAAGCTGCCTTAAAMAATTTACTGTATCGTTGACAGTGTGGCATATAGAGCCGTCTTTTTGGAACCAAACGTCGTTCACATCAACATCCTTCAATTTAGGGACGGAAAAGTCATTAATCATAGTTCTATAATGGACTTCACTGACTGTAATTTTATAGCCGGCTACATTTTTGAACAAATATGGACTAATGATTTCATTTGCTCCTATATCATACAAAACTGTGACTTTTTGAGAATGTAAGGGCTTCTGAAGTTTAGCTTTCGTATTATTACCACTCCAAAACAGTTTTTTTTTATTAACGTACTCATATTCAACCAAAACGGAGCTGAGCAAAATGTTCTTATGAAAATCGGAATGGGTTTCATTCACCGAAGATACGACCCTMTTCATGGTCGTTTCACTTCAATACTTGCTTGAGGAGGACTTTGTAAGCCCGCAAACCTATATTCTTCCGTAAAATCTTCCATAAAGTATATGAACATAGGTCCCATTGTTGCGTCTAATGGTGGACGGAGTCTATCGGGTCTTCTTCGATATTCTGCTTCACATCTATGGTTCCTCTACCGGCCCTCTTGGGCAATTCAATCAACCGAATGTTGTGTTCCGGATTAAGTCTGTTCATTATGAAATAACAAATTAGACTGGATATAAATCAAGTAACAGTTATCAAAACCACCAACTGCGAAAAAAGTATTGCCTTATTGAAAACCAATCGTCTAAAAAAACATCCGTTACAAATCACTTAAATAAATTGTGTTATGGGACATATTTAATAGTGCCTTATCTTACTGATGAGAACATAGTCATGTTCTAATACTTTTCCCACATATAGCCAATACTTCAGTATTCCGAAAGACTACTCTAGAAACTAAGATCATGAGGGGTTCAAAACTTGGATAGACCTGCCTTTGTCGTTAAAAATCAAACTCACGCTTCTAAAAAGTTGGAAGGTTTCACCAAACATCTAAGTGTTTTGTAGGTGGAATATCTCAAAAATGACATTTAAAATTAATATTTTATAGAAATACACCWCGAAATTGCACGATCGACAACTGCGCCACATTTCAGAAATAAAATTTGAGACATCTTAATTTCGAACGTTTTATTCTTAAATTGTTTGTGTTAAATTATATCAACTATTGGTATCAAAACACCTTTCACATCATAAATTAATATATGTATATTAATATTAAAGCATAAAATACCGCTTTCCTCGCTCAAGTTGATAATAAATTTACATACATACACACATATAGTATAACAACTCTGTCACTCTCACAAATGAGTGCTTTATCAATGCAAAACCTCATCGAAGCAAGTTCTCGCTATAAACTAACTATAAAATATATAACTTTATGACTGGCAATATGGCACACATTCAATTTGGAAGCCGACATCATTTACACATATGTATACATACACACTGGTAGTTATTTATACATACAATTATAGGTGCTTATGTAAAGTCATTGTTGTTTATTCTAAGCACTGCTAGAATATAAAAGTTTTAATAAAAAGCTTGTTTATATGCATACATATGTGACTGAGATTAATATTGTTAATATGTTTAGTGTTTGATCGGAGAATTAGTTTGCCTTGACCTGCAACTACATGAACAGTTGGAAAAAACTAACTATTTTCAGATATCTTATCGCTCTTATCAAGTTAATGAACTCGTGATATTAAAGCTTTATTATTATTATTATTATTATTATTATTATTATTATTATTATTATTATTATTATTATTATTTTTTTTTTTTTTTTTTTTTTTTTTTTTTTTTATTTTTATTTTTTTGTTTTTTGTTATGACGATGACGTAGAAACCCGTAGAAATATATAAAAGTAGAAAATACTTCGAGAATACTTTTGGAGTAAAMAAAWTTTTTGTTTAAATTGCTATTTRGAGGACCTTTTTGGGAATTCCCGAATTTTAGAGTTTAGTTTACAYACACAGAAGTTATTGTGTTACAAATACACAACTTATATATGTACTTGTAGTTATATATCATTATATACACATCCGCTGCGATTATGGCAATATCAATTCATCCTCTTAGATGTGTATAAGAGACAGACTTATATATGTACTTGTAGTTATATATCATTATATACACATCCGCTGCGATTATGGCAATATCAATTCATCCTCTTAGATCTTTAGATAGATCACGGTTGGAAAAGAAATAGCAGTATGTCAAACTAAAATACTTTTTATGATATTCAATAATATGAAACGCAGTTTTACAGTAGTGGGCGTGTCTAATATTGGGTTAAAGTAAACACCCGATGAATATATAAGTATATTTAAAATCATTAAAAGTAAAGTGAGATGCAAGAAATCTACAATTATATGTACGTTCTCACGTATATTGCTTACAAATATCTCTTCTTCTTGGTTGGTGTAGACACCGCTTACGCGATTATAGCCGAGTTTACATATATAATTCTTTAGATTCTTTAGATTTAAAAAAGATACACCCGCTTTGGCAGGATAATCCCTTACAGGATCATCTAAAGTGAAAACAAAAATAATTCTTTTAGTTAAACCTAAAGTTTGGTGAAAGAAAAAAACTGAAAATTGGATTTCCTGTAGAAAATTTTCGAGAAAAACGCGTTTGAAGACGGCTGTATCTTCGAAACTATTWCTCGGATCAACATGAAARTGTTTAGGACAATATTCTAAACGTAACGTCTAGACAATATTCATAACATTGGCAGCTAACTGTTACATACTTATTTCCATGTTTTGGATTCGATTCATCGCATAAAGTTCACTCAAATTAATGTTGATTGTAAATGAATAGATTTTCATGATACTGTGGTCAAAAATAGTGACACGGTAAAAAGGCCACTGGTAAAAGCGTTGGAAAAAGTACGTTTTATCGGACGGGGATTGCTTTGAAGGCCAAGAAATTAAGTTGGAATAATAAATTTGTTTTTGTTTTCTATCGATTTTGAGATCTAACAGAACTCGCTTCCACCCAAAACACATGAAAAATATGGCCAAAAATGGTTAATATCTATTTTCACTACTCCCTCCAAAATCACTTTGTGTATTTTTTTTTTTAATATTCTGGTGCTAACTGATCGTAGAAATTCAGCAAACCAATTACGAATGGTCGCTGCGCTTTTTACAAAGACCGGATACCACTTTTTGATATCAGTAGCATTTTTTTATTGTAAAAAGATTCTATAAATTTTACGATGACTCTGAAGAGTCGTTAGATTGTATAGATTTCTTCTTCCATACAGAAGAACGCCTGAAGTCTTGATGTTTCATTAATGTTGAAGGCCTAGTGCTATTAAGCTAACCATTTCTACGTTTTCCACAATGAAATGTCGGAAACCCTATAAATTGTATTTATAGAATTCTTTTTTATTTGTGAAATGTATTCTAGCTTCGGCACAACCGTAGTAAAAATTTTTTCTCGTTTTATATTTATATTGCACATTATAAACAGTTAAMAGCTTTCTCTTAGCAATCAACCAGCTATCATTAATTTGAAATTMATAGCGGATAATATGAGAAGTATGCCATCCAGACACTGACCAAAATTGTATGGAAAAACTCGGCCTATGATCTCTCAAGCCATAAGCGTAATAACATAATTTTTGATTCATCCATTTATATGTTAATATAGAAATGTACACACTGCATAATAAGTACATTGGCGCACCGTTACCGTTTGGCCATAAGAAATGGTCACTATGCGCTGACCAGCCATAATCGATATATCCGAAAGCGTGTCTCGTGTCACATTCACTTTATTTTAATTACTTAACTATTGCTGGCGATTCGAATAAAGCGTGTTTCAGTTGTTATTGTAATACATGCAATAAAAAGATAAGTCAAGTTTGTGCAAGCCCAAAGCGCGAAACGAAAAGTGTTTATAACAGTACATACATATACCCGTTTATATATATCTACAATAGAAAACCGGCTGTAAGACACGTTTATTTTTTATAATTTTTTTTTTTTTTTGCCTCTTTAAATATTTGCTGCTCTTGCACAATCGTCGCCATAGGAGCGCAAGTATAGACTTTTGGGAGTGCGGCCGTTTATCAATGCTACTTGGGTGCACATAACCAATATATACATACATATATGTATRCATATGTCTAAATTTATATGTACGCTTGATTGCATGCACAACAGCAGCGTTTTTTCCACACACGTTCCCCATAAATAAATAYATACATATGTAAGTGTATGTTTATTACGCGTTAAGTGCYTTGTTGCAATTACAACTATTTTTACTCATTACTAACTAACCTCACACATAGTCATATGCTGTTGTGTGTATCTATGTTGTAAATGCTTATATTGGCATTTACGACTAATTAAATTGTTTACTGATTTGGCTTTGTCTTCGTTTCGTTCACTTGCAGAGGAGGCCAAAGCTGCCGCCGAGGAATCCAATCAATCGCCAGTTATTGGCAAACGCAATGAGTCCACAGCCAGTCCGATCCAGTCACGTGGCAGCGGCACAAGCGAAACATGGCCGACGCAATCGGATGAGGATATCGATCGTTTGGTGGCGATGCATCAAAATCGCGATAGCCTCAGCTCTTTGGGTGTAAGTAGAAATWTTATTTTATTTTTTCWATTGAATAACTTAATATAACATAACTTTTGTTTACAGTCTTGATTCGTAAAATATTTTCRTATGGTAATTTTAGTTTATCTTTAGTTTAGTTTAGTTTTAGTTGTATCTTTTGGTTATAAAAATAATATWGATGTTATTTTAAATATTTTAAATATTCTATATATCAATAGTATCATGAAAGCAAGGCTAATTCGCAAAATCTTAATGTCAAATGACACGTCTATGTTAACATAAAGAATTATTATTATTAATAAGTAATTGTTAACATAAAGATTTGTGTTTTTGTGTTCCTTGGCAAACTGAGGAAGTTGCATATTTCAGTCCCTATCACATACAATATGGCAAAAAATTACCCGGAAATTTTAAATAAAATGTAAAATATATAATTATTCATCAATATTTGTATTGTCGCCTTCAAAATTATCCCCACCAGTTGGAATAGTGTTATGCCAATGATTTTTCCAGTTCTCGAAACACTTTTCATAAGTAATTTTTGAAATGGCTTCAGTTCCTTTMGAGAACAGCACCAAAAGTGGTACACTTTTTGAAAACAATCTCGAACACTTGTCTGACGATTTTCAAGCTGTATATCCCTTACATTTTTTATCATCAGTCAGGAGAGGTCGAAGGTTGTCTAGAACAAGGCATGTCTTCAACGATCTCTCAAACGTTTTTACCACTCATTAGCTTGTGTTTTTGATAAAGCTGCAGCTTTTTCCAGCATTCGCAATGATTCCACGTGCGAAATTTGATAAGAGATACAAAATTTAAGAAAAAATCTTGGTTCGATATTTTTATCTATTGCAAAAATCGCGACGTACTACTGAGGTGTTCCGACTTAACCACCTTTTGTAATCAAACTGGTTGACGGATCGCGCTTATATTTGACATATTTATTAAGGACGGTTCGACGAACTTAGCAAAATTATTTCTTATTTTTTTTTATTTTTATTATTATTATAATT